TGAACCCAGGGTCTGCTGGAGGAGGGCTGGGGTGTGAACCCGGGGTCTGGAGGAGGAGGGCTGGGGTGTGAACCCGGGGTCTGACGGAGGAGGCAGGACCTACTCCCTCTGGTCTCTCGGGTCTGATGGAGGAGGCCGGGCCGACCTGGCGGGGACAGGAGGGATGGCTGGAGTGGACTCCGTGGTCGGGACAGAGGCGCTCATCGGGGGACGAGGGCTGGACAGGGTCTGTGCCAGGACCGGGGCCCTGGACCCGAGCTGCAGATGCCGTTTGCAGCCCGAGGGAGGCGGAGGCCGTGGAGGGCCCGGCGAGGGTGCTGGGCCTGGGTCCCCGTCCCTGCAACCCGCTGTCCCCAGCGCGGTCTCCGCAGCAGCTGGATCTGCAGAGCTGGGTCTGGGCGGGCTGGGTCCCCTCCTGCTGGGGACCCCCCTTACCTGCGCCTCCTGATCCTTTCTTCCTCCGGGGCCGGACGCGCGGAGCTGCGGGAGGGAGGGGGCCGCAGCGGGGCGGGGAGGAGGCTGGGCCGGTGTCACCGCCTAAGCCTTCCCCCCGGAAACGCAGCCTGCTGCCGGGCCGGGCAGAGGCGAGAGCGGCTAGGAAGCCGGAAGCGGGGCCGGGCGGGGCGGTGCTGGGGTCCGCGGGGCGGGGCGGCGCTGTCCCGACGGGCGGGAGGAGTCGGAGCAAATGCACCATTCATTCACCCGCCAACAAACCCGCATTGACCGAGTCCTGCCCGTGCCAGGCGCTGTGCAGGGCCGGGCGCAGGTCTCGTGGGAGAATAGTCAGTGACCGAGCCTCGGGGTGCGTGACAGTCGGGTCAGATCCTGGCTCCTGCCTTCCCGCGGCTGCCTGGACAAACGACCTGCCCTTGTCTGCACCTCAGTTTCTCCTCTGATAAACCTCTGCATGTCTGTTCATTCCATCCTAGGGGCCAGTGTTTACTGAGCACCTACTATGGGGTAGCTCTGTCCTTGGTCCTGGAGTCCTGGGACAGACACAGGCTGTCCAGGTTCCTACGGGGGAGGCAGAGGGACACGGATCAGCCGCTGGCCGGAAAGTGGGTGCTGTGGGAATGCGGGGAACAGGAGGCGCAGAGCTGAGCTCACGCTGAGAGCGAGGGCTCCCTGACTGCCTCCCGGGGCCACGATCTTTCGGCAGAAGCTCACAGGGTGCAGCCGACCTGGCCCATCCCCAAAGCCTCGGCTGAGCAGGGCTCGTGGCAGGCCCCTGCGCGCCTCTGTTTCTTTAAGTGATATTCATGCCGTACATTGTTGGCACAAGTGTGGCAGACAGTTCCGCTCTGCGTGGCTGGGGGGAGCGGAGCCAGGAACGGCCTTGCGGGCAGCAATTCCAGGAATTTCTCCTCGGGGAGAGCAGAAACACGCAGGTGCCGTGTGCAGCAGGGTGACTGCGCGTGTGTTGTGGGGAGCTGCACACCCCTGAGAATAGTCCCGGCCCTGGCAGGGCGAGAGCGGAGTGCTGAGCCACAAGTGAGCTTCCTGGCAGACCACTCATGTCCATGAAGAGAGTGATCACTGCGGGAAGTAGGAAAAGTCCCCAGGCGACAGTGTGACAGGGCGCAGCCTGCGCCACCCTGCCCTCACTTATGGGTAGACAGTGCCGAGGAACCCAAAGACAGAGAAGCTGGCAGCACACTCTGCCCTGTGTCCCCTTCACACCGGGGCTCGAACCCAGGGCCTCAGTGCTGAGCTACAGCCTCGGCCTTTTATTTTTTATTTTGAGACAGGGCCTCACTAAGCCTTTAAGTTGCCCAGGCTGGGCTTAAACCTCGATCCTCCTGCCTCAGCCTCCCAGAGTGCAGGGATTATAGGTGTGCACCATCACACCTGGCTCACTGAGATTTTTTACTTCACAGAGATGGATAGTGCATCAGTAGCATGTTTTTTTTAAAATTTTTTTTGGCCGTTTTGAGACATGGTCTCACTATGCAGCTCCAGCTGGCCTTGAACTCACTTTGTAGCCCAGGCAGGGCTCGAACTCATAGTGATCCTTCTGCCTCAGCCTCCCAAGTGCTGGGATTACAGGCGTGCACCACTAAGCCCAGCCAGTAGCATGATTTTTAAAAGCACCTGGCCAGGTATACTATATTATAAAGGATTTGTACATAAAGAGTAAAAGTGTGAAAATGTCCATGGAAAATGCATCAGATTTGGGGTGTGGGTTCCCTTTGAAAAGGGAGGCAGTCAGCTCTTGGAGGGGATGTCTATGCAACTCAGTTGTATCTCTCACATTTCAAAGCTGGTAGTATATGGTTGTATGTATGTGTAGTTGTGTGAATGTGTTTTAACTGCTTTAAAATGGGTAAAAAAAATAAAAAAATAAAATGGGTAAAATATATGTAACATAAAATTTATACTTTCAGCCATCTTAGTGTACGGATTG